TATGGGGTACACAGTCTTCCCAAACATTGCCTAAGTTTTCTTACTTCCTGGCAAGGCATTTATTTATTGTTCCCTCTGGCAGAAAGGGGTGGGCTCAGGACAAGCCCCCCAAAAAGGCCCCCCGGAAGTCCTGAGGAGGAGGAAGAACCAGGAAGTAAAGAGAACATGGTGATCAGCCACCACCTTGAGAAGTCACCCTCGGGAAAGTGCACTTTCAGGGGTTATCACACCACAAGTCACTCAAGCAACCCTTGTTAAGCTGTTCTTGAAGATGAATCACTTAGGTTATTTTCTCACACTCTATAAGGCTGTTTCATCCACACTGAAAATCTGTTGTTGAGTGCAGCCACCTTCATCAGTGATCTCAGCTGGGTCTTCTGGGTAACTCGCTGCAGCTTCTCCATCAGCACCTGCGTCTTCACCTGCACTTTGATGTCATGGACACGGCTTCTGTATTAGTCTGTTTCCACTGTTTATAACAAAATACTTGGAACTGGGTGATTTATAAGAAAACAAAATTTACTGCTTGCAGTTTTGGAGGCTGGGAAGTCCAAAGTCCGGGGAACGTGTCTGGTGAGGGTCTTAGTGGTGACTTTAGTGACAAAGGGTCTCACATTGTGAAAATGGTGGAGCAGAGAGACAGACAGACTCTCCTCTTCTTTTAAAGCCCTCAGAACCACACCCCTGACCATCATTATTAATCCGTTCACTACTGCAGGGTCTTGCAATCCAGTCACCTCTTCAAGGCTTCACCTTCAATTACTGTAATAGGATTTCCCACCCTCATAATTAGTCACAGTGGGGACCAAGTTTCTTTTTTTTTTTTTTCCTTTTTGTCTTTTTTCGTGACTGGCAGCGGTCTGCCACCCTCAGTGTCGCGCCCGTACCGGACCGGGACCGGCAACCGGATCGCAACCCTCGGTGTTGCTCCCGCACCTCGCTTAGCCAGTGAGCGGGAACCGGTCTGTATGTGGGATCCGAACCCTCGGCGGGAGCGCTGCCGTGCTCCCAAGCGGCGCACTGTAGGAGTGCGCCACTGGGCCGGCCCTGGGACCAAGTTTCTAATACACAAAACTTGGGGGACCCAGTTCAAGCTTTAGTGAGTTTTGGGGGGGACATAATTCAGTCCACTATGGCTGCTTCCCTCAAACCTCATGAACCAGCCCCTGCTGGCTTTAGGCGTCTTCAATCTTCTCATCTCAGCCTTCTTAGAACTACCTTGGGATTAGGCTTTGGCTCAAGGGAGTGCTGTGGCTGGACGGATCTTTCACTTAGACCACTAGAGCTTCCTCCACGTCGGCAGCGAGGTTGTTGCATTCTCGTCACTGTGTGTTCACTGGACTGGAGCTTTTGGTTTCTTCAGGAGCTGCTGTGCACTCAGGACATGCCGTTTGGTGCAAGAGGCCCAGCTTTCGGCCTGTCCCAGCTTTCGGCCTGCCCGGGCTTCCTACAGACCTTCCTTTGTAAGCCGAATCATTTCAAGCTTTCGATTTAAAGTGAGAGATGTCGACTCTTCCTTTCTCTTGACTACTTGGAGGCCACTGTGGGATTTTTAACTAACCTAATTTTAACGCTGTGTCTCAGAGAACAGGGAGGACCAAGGTGAGAGAGGCAGGGGAGTGGCCGGCTGGCAGAGCAGTCAGAACGCATGGCAATTGTCCCTTAAGCTTGCTGTCTTGTGTGGGCGCTGTACATGGTGCCCGAAAGCGGTTGCCTAGTATCCGACATCAGGGAACGCTGACCACAGGTCACCCTAACAGATGCAGTGACTGGAAAAGTGTGGAATACTGTGAGAATCCCCAAAATGTGACACAGAGACATGAAGTGGGCACTGCTGTTGGACAGACGGCCCTGGGAGACTCGCTTGAGGCTGGGCAGTCACTGTCCTTCAATCTAGTAAAAAGGCAATGTCTGCAGAGCGCGATAGCGGAGTGTGGCGCAGCGGCATATGCCTGTGTTCAAAATAGATTCCGAGGCAACGTGACCCTATAAGACGTCACTGCCACCTGGACGGAGCCCAAGGTCAGTGGAGACCCCCAGGGCTCAGAGGCGCCTCTGTCGGCTCCCTGCTCTACCACAGCCCGCCCGGACCCCATTCTGTCTGAAATGGATTCAGGAACAACATGGGTTTTTTTGTAAATGTCAAATTGGTGAACTCTGGCCTGGGTGGGGCGGGGATTTGCCCTCTCAGACTATGCTGGCTTCTCCCAGGTGTGCCCCGCCCCCAGCTGTGCCCGCCAACCTGGACTTTCTTCCAAGCCCCCAGCCCCTCTATTCCCAGCCTTATGTCACGCGTTGAGTCCACTTTAGCACTGGCCCTCCTGTTGTTAGTAAAAGCTGCGACTCCCGGGAAGGCCCATTGATTTCTGTAGCCCTGGGTGGGCTGCAGACAGAGGGTGCTGGTGAGGACAGGGCTCTTCCAGGGGTCTGAAGACCATCCTGTGGCCACACTTGGTGGGCTTCATCCCGATCTGTGCTCGGTTGGTTTGGTGAAGCCAGAGGCTTCCTTCTTCTTGTGCCTCTCCCTGTCTCAGGTGCCAGGGCCCCCTTGCTCCCTGCAGCCTGAGCCTCTTGGCCAGGGTGTGATGTGGTGGGTGGGTCCCCAGAGCCCGGAGGGGTGGCTCTTTACCTGCAGTCACAGCTCTGTCAGTGGTTGTCAGGTTTTCTTGGTGGCGCCTGTGTACCAGTTCCGGCTGGGTCAGGCCCAAACAGGTGACCTGATGCAAAGGATGCAGCACTTCTTCCTCAACCCCAGCACACCGTGCGCCTGCTGGAGGCAGGCCCCAGGTAGGCAGACAGTCCACCTCTTTGGGGATGATGGGCTTTGTGGCACATGAGGAATGTCCCTCAGCCAATGGCAGCAGCATACCTGCCCTGCCTGGCCATCCACGTTGGCCCAGGTCCCTACTAGGGGAGGAGGTTTGCTGGCCTTGGAGGGAGTGAGATCTCGCTGGTCCTCCCTGCGCACCCTCCCTTGGGTCCATGGCAGGGTCTTGTGGTGTGGGTGAATGGCACCCAGGGAAGCACCACATGACACCTGGCCTCGCACTTCTGGCTCCAGAGCACTTTGTCTAGCAGCTTGGCCTGGCCTGGGCATGGGAGCGGGTCCATGGGCTCTGAGGGTTCCCAGCAGTGGCGTGGCTCTGCTGGTGCGTGCGGGATGTCTCCTCCAGAGTGCTGGAATTTCCCCCCAGGCCCTGCCGTCCTGGACAGGGAGCTCTGTGGCTGGGCGACGCAGAAGGTCTGGAAGCGATTGCGGCCGCCCCGTGTTTACAGGCTGCTCCTCAGATCCCACACGAGGGAATCTGGAGGGAATCTGATCCGTCTGCTGCTTCCTCTGGGAGGAGCTGCACATCAGAGCTGGCTGGCGTTTGATGTCATGCTGCTCCTGCCTCGCTTTGTCCCTGTTTGCGATTTGCCCCAGGGAAGGCCTGCAAGAAGGGACCCTGATCAAGGTGTGGGCCTGGCCACCATGTGCTGTGTGATAAGCCAGCTGCCTGACTGCACGCGCTCTCACTGAGTCTCCCTTCTCTGCCTGCAGATCTTGTTTGCTTGGAATGTGTCCTCCTTGACCAAGGTGTCCCCCTCCTCTGTCCGGGCTTCAGTGGGAAGAGCCACGTGGGCCTGGCCTTGTGCCCAGGGCCTCTGCTGTGGCACATTTTGGGTCTTGTGTTTTCCTGAGCCAATACTCCAGCCCTTTGGGGAGAGGATAGATGGGACAGCTGCTGTTGGGCAGATTGTGGAAGGGAGCCCAGCAGGTGATGTGGCTCCACGTGGCGAGAGTGGATGCTGGCCCTGCACATGGAGGCCACACCCTCCATGGGCCAGAAGCCTTCTCCCAGGAGAGGGCACCGAGCCTGAGGAGAGCACGGGGGATCCAGGCCCACGTGAGCTTCAGGCGTGTTCATGATGGAGGCTCTGTGTGTGTGCGTGTGTGACTGTGTGTGTGCATGTGCACGTGTGTGCCCTTGCATGTCTCCTGCACACTGTCCCCTCACCCCTTGGCCTGCCTGTCCTGGGTGCTGCTGCAGGCTTCCCAGCCCAGCTTCAGCCAGTGCCCTGCGTCGGGTCACCACCTCTGTGCCTCCGTCTCCCCAGTCTAGCCACGCCCTGTGATGCTGTACAGGGGCCCCAGGTCTGGAATGTGCTTATATCCTGTGCCACTTCACGTCCTTAGTTTCACTTTCTTTTTGGGTGAAGGTTGTCATCTTGGGGTCCCTCCAGAACCCCCTGGGAACTTGACACTGCCCTGCCTGATCTGATCATGCTTCAGGAGGTGGTGCCACCATCATCCGCTGTGTCTAGGCACAGGGAGGACAGACCGTGGTCTGAGGTCATACAGCTAGGACATTGCAGGGAGCAGACCCAGCCCCTGGGGACACTGAGCTGGGTGGGCATAGGCGATGGGCTGTGATTCCAACATGCAGCGTGGGTCAGGAACTGAAGTTCTGACCCATCTGGAGACCACTGCTCTCCATCCCTGTATCCCCCTCGACCTGGGCAGAGGAGATGGCATATGGCAGTGCTCCTGGCCTTGGGGACCTGGGCTTCTGTCCTAAGAGTCCAGTTAATGGATTTGAGCCCTGAGCTGGTCCTGCTGGTTTTGAGGTCGGCGACCCTCTAGATGATGGCTTCAGATGAAAGCCCCCACAGACCATTACAAAGCTGAGCGCAGGTGCAGTTGGCAGCATGCCACACCTGGAATGCAGTGTGGGCTGCTTGTCCGCTGTCCCATGTGGCCATGTGGCTGAGCCTGGAGGCTGGAGGCAGGGCAGGAGGACCCCCCAGGATGCCTGCTGATGGCTGAGGCCCTTTGGGGGGGGGCTGCGCCCAGCAGGTGGCCACCTTCTGGTGATTGTGGGCATAAGAGTGGGCTTGGGGGGCTTGGTCAGGCTGAGATGTCTGTGCTGAGAACTATGGCCCCAGGCCTGGGCTGCTGTCCTGGGCAGGGTGCCCTGGGTCCCCAGCAGTCTCTGACGTCTTCTTTCCTCTCCTTGCAGGGAGTGTCTGCAGCGGCCAGACGAGGTGATCCCGGTCTGCGTGTACATGAGGGATGAGGTAGGTGACTGGCCCAGCCCCACCCCGCTCCCTCCCGGTCGCCACTTTCCAGCCTGGAAAATCCACACTCCCTCACCGGCTTCAGAGCAGTGGCCGGGAGACTCGGGCTCCTGGAAGCGTGATGTGCTTCATGGAAAGGGCAGAGCGTCAGCTCCACTGGAGCCCAGCCACGCTGCCCGGCTGCTCCTGAAACCTCCCTCGGCGCCCTGTTTGTTTTTTCAGCTTCTCTCAAAGCCCAAGAGTCACAAAAGTGGTTTCATTTTTATAAATATTTGCTTTGCTCCATGTTTTGATCTTTTCTAAAACCGCGTTCAGCGTGGCAGGCAGAGCCTGTGTGCCAGCCCTGCCTGCCACGATGGGGGCCCTCCAAGTGCGTGGTCCTCTGACCTCACAGGGGCTCTTTGTTTCGGCCCTGGCTGAGCGCCCTTTGCTAGCCTTGGGGGCACTGTCCCTGAGGGGCCCCTGGGTGGGCCCTGGTGTGGATGGGCACGCTCTCTACTTATCCCCTGTCGGAGGTCCCCTGTGCCAGGGCTGTGAGGGGCGGGGGCTGCAGGGCTGTGGGTGGGAGGGACCAAGGAGGGCATTCAGGTCAGCATCTGGCCACTAGGGCCTCGGGGACCCAGGCCTGGCCATCGGTGCTTAGGCTTCTCCTCTGGCTTTTGTGCTGTGCCTGTGGGCAGGTCCAGCCCCAGGGGGACTACCACCCCTTGCTCAGAGTCGGCTCAGGAGACCCGAGCTGAGTGTCAGCAGTGGCTGTGCATGGGAAGGCCGGGAGGACGTTGCAAGGTTCCCAAGGCAACACCGGCCACAAGGGCCACTCTGTGACTCCAGATCAGGAGAGGGTGGGGGGACTGGTGGCTGCTGCCTGGCAGGGTGTGGCGTGAGCGTGGTTGCCCTGGTCAGGCTGCAGCATCCACCAACCAGGTGTTCTGATTCGGGGACCCACCTGACTCAGGCTTTGAAGAGTGCTTGAGGCCAGCTTGCCTCAGCCCACTGGAGAGGGGTGGGCTCCCTGTGCTTAGGCTCCGGGGCCCACTGGGGCCTGGGGGGCACCCTCTGAGCTGAGATGACTCTGACCCAGGGACAAGCCTACTCCCTGTGTCTGGGCTCAGTCTGCCTGGCCACCCTGTGGCCTCCATGTCCCCAGCATTGTTTCTCGTCCACGCCTCCCTCCCTGCCTCTGTGGTCTCCCATGCTCACTGCTGCAGTGGACTCTGAGGGACTGGGAGGGGCCTGGGGGTGCAGATGGGGAAGTGGCCCGGTGGCAGGCCAATGCTGGTTGGGGTGGATGTGGCCTGGTGTTTGGGGAGCAAACCAGGCAGTGGTGGTCAGCATGGGGGCCTTTGGGGGCACCTCTGTACAGCCTCCCATGGTGGTCAGTTCTCTGCCCCCACCCCGCCAAGAAGAGCAGGTGGTGGAGCTGTCCCATGAGTCTCCAGCCTCTGTCCCTGAGCGTGTTCCAGCCCCTCCACGTCAGCCTTGGCAGGGCGTCTGAGCTGCAGAACGACCTGCCCCAGCCTCACGTGGGCGTGGTGTGTGGCTGAGGGGCTGGGCTCAGTCAGGGAGACAGATGGTAAATGGGCTTCAGCCATCTGCAGGCCAGGCTGAAGCTGGGCCTTATGAAGGTCGACTAGCAGGGAAGGATGTGGGGTGTGAGCAGGACAGAGGCCAACAGGGGGCATGGGACACAGTGGTGGAAGGTGGAGGGGCCGCCGGGGAGCCCGTGGTTCCGGTTGGTGCCCAGGCAGGGGGAGGTGAGCTTGGCTGGGGGATGGGGACACTGGGTGGCGAGAAGGTGCCTGGCCAGAGTGGGGGGCTTCCTTGCCGCCTGCTTGGCAGGGTTGCCGGGGCTCGTGGTTCCAGGTGGAGCGCCCACCTGTTCTGTTGGCTTTTCCTGCAGGTGACCGGCGGGGCCGCCCTGCGGAGCACAACACTGCAGTCGCTGGGCCTCACCGGGGGCAGTGCCACCATCAGGTAGGGTCCACGCAGCTGTGGCTTTGGAGCTCTGTTTGGTTAGCAAAGGCAGCCTTGAAGGGAAGGAAAAAGAAGGGAAGGAAAAAGACTAGTGAAAAAGCAGAGAAGAAAATGTGTCCCCAGGGTCTGCACCTGGCCTCAGGCCTGTGTCCCAGCAGAGGCTCAGCTCGTGGGGTGGGAGGTGGTGGGGAGCCTGCTCTCTGTAGCGGCTGCAGCTGCCCTGGCCCCAGGGCCATGCCTCAGGCCTCCTTTCTCCTCCCCGTAGAGGTGGAGTGGACTTAGGAAGGGGGCTGTGTGGTGTTGTCCAGAGTGGGGGCCACTGCAAGGAGCTTCACTGTCTTTCTGGGCTCCCGCTCAGGTTTGTCATGAAGCGGTGTGACTCCGTGGGCAAGCAGGAGCCTGGGGTCCCCAGGAGCAGAACCCCAGGAAGCCCGACCTCCTCTGTGTCTGCTGGCCAGGCGGCCGGCAGCACTCTGCTTCCCTTGAACTCAGGGGAGCTCAGCAGGGGTGACCTGAGCCACCGGGGTGACGCAGGCACCTTGGGCAGCGGCCACGTGGACGGCCTGGGCCCAAAGCCGGAGGACACTCAGGCGAAGCCGAGTGCAGAGTCCACCCCTGCCCCCTTTGTTCCTTTCTCTGGTGGCGGCCAGCGACTGGGGGGCCCGTCGGGGTCCGGGAGGCCTCTGATAACACCTTCAGCCAATCTGCCAAAGCCCTTCTCCAGCCCTGGAGGCCCCTCCAAGCCAAAGAAGTCAAAGCCGGGCCAGGAGCCACCGCTGGAGCCAGAGCCGGAGCTGGAGCCAGAGCCAGAGCCGGTAAGGGGCCTGTGGGCCTTGGGGCTTGGGGGAGTCCTTTCTCCTGACCGTGGAAGTTCTCATCAGTTGCTGGGAGGAGAGGGCAGTGTCCATTGGGCTGCTCGTCCAGGGTGACATCTGGTACACTGTCCTTTCTTTTGTGATGGCTTTCTTGAGGTGATGCTTGCTACCTGCAGCGCACCCAATGCGAGGGCGCACACGTGTTTTATCCCTTCTGAATCCGTCTCTGAGCTCCTGTGGTGGGAGCTGCCCCTGGCCTGTGTGTCGCTGGGTCTTGTGTTCCTGTTTTCATGGTGACGCCCTCACCCCACTTCTCTGACCAGCACTGACCCTGGGGATGGGAGGGGCCCCTTGTTTGGGAACACGCTGAGTAGGCAGATCGCGGGTTGGGGTGCAGTCAAGGATCACACTTCAGGTGGCCGCCTTATGTGCCCTGCTGGCTCCCCAGGTCATATCAGCATGATCGCACCCATCTTACCTCCCACCATCGATGGCCGTCAGTCCCTGAGGGCTGTGTCTGGTCCTTTGCGGGTCAGGCCGCAGCACAGCTCCTGAGGGAGCGTGTGGCACAGGCCACCCCCGGCCTGTCCCAGTTTTCTACTCAGAGCCTCTCCGGGACTCGTTCCAGTTGAGTTTTCAAAGCTTCTGCTGGCTTCTTTGGAAGTTGCAGTGTGGTTGACATCCTCACTGGAAGACATAGCTTGGACTCAGCCCTGGTGTGGTGCTTGGGGGTCCTTGGGGGTCCCTCTGGTGACAATTCCTTCAGAAACGCTCACAGGACCCTGCCCACCCCATATGTGCAAAGGCTTCGTTGCGGATTTTCCCAGAACATTTCTCGGGGTCTTGGAATGTCTTGGACTCTTCTCCTCCTTGGGCTTCTTCCCTGAGAGGCTCCAGGTCTGCCTCCCAGAGTCCAGCTAAGCAGGGCGCTGCTCGGCAGGACCTTCGAGCCCGCGGCTCTGGCTCCAGGCTGGAGAGCGTCCCTCGCTCCAGCCAGTGGTCGCTCGCAGTCAGCACTTGTGCTGGGGCCGAGAGGGGGGTGTCGTGTGTCTTTTGTTCAGCAGACATTCGCTACTTGTCGTTAGGGACACCAGTGGTGTCGTTAGGGACCAGACTGTCCTGAGAGGTCTTGCTGTGGGGCCAGCCTGGGCCACGCGTCCTCACCTGCGTGTCACTGCCTCACCTGCACGTTCTCACCTGCCTCTGTCCTTTCGCTCCAGCCAGGGCGGCTGTGTTCTTACTGGTGCGAGTTACGCTGCAGGCCCAGTTATGGTTTTATTTGATAAAAAGGATTCTACTGACAAAAAAACATTCCCAGGTGGAGGGTAGCCATTGGAAGATTCTTAAGGGGCATGACATAAAAAGTTTGTTAGAAAGATTTTGCAGTGGAGACAGAAGGTTGTCCATGTGAGGGACTAACCAGAGTGGTGGCCCTCGGGGTGGGGGTGTCAGTGAGGAAGGACGGGCTGGGTCTCTCCATGAAGGACAGCGCAGTCTGAAGTGGCTCGCAGCCACTGGTGGGGATCCCAGCCAGGCCCCCTCACGCTGTGGCTCCTGGGATGGTGTGCAGTGACCGCAGGGGTGCGGGCAGGGTATGTTAGAACAAACACCTGGTGCATGGGATTCGCCATTGACGGTTGGGGGACATCTACAGTGTGTCCACATGGGAATAGCCAAGGTCACAATTCCGGTGTGTCTGGAGCCTGCCTGGGTATGTCCTGCCACACACTTAAGCGGGTGGAGGATCAGGTCACCTGCCTGTCCTGTGGTGGGTGCAGTCCTCATGTCCAGCCCCAAGCCAGGGTCCTGCCTGACCACTCATGATGCCCCGAGCTGTCCCTGGAGTGTCCTGTTGTGTGGACAAGTTAGTGAGGAGGGGGGTGATGGGGTGGTGCCTCCTCCCCTTTGGGGACCCTGCTGACTTCTGCGTGGGTAGTGTTTGGGCCGGCATGAAGCCCCCAGGCTCCTTGGCCAGAGTCAGAGGCCGAAGGTAGACCCAAGTGGTTGGGGTGAGCTGGGGCTGTGCCTCCTGGGGACCCCTGGGTTGGAGGGGTGCAGGGTGGCTGTCTCTGTCCCCTGTGGTCCGTGCCTATGGGGGTGCCTGGCTTATTCTGCCCCGGGGGTAGTTGCTCTCCCGGGGACAGGGTCCCAGCGCAGCCCCAAGTGCTGATCCCGGCCCCCAGTCAGGAAGGGTCCCTGGGGAGGGTGTGTGCGTGCCTCTGCCCCTGCCCCCCGAGCCTTTGATCTGGAGCATCCTGCCGCCTGCCTCGCGCCTCCTGTCACTGACAGCCGCACCCCCGGAGCCGGGCCACATGCGGCTGCTTTGTGTCCCTTTTCAGTCTTGGGGGAGGGGAGGGAACAAAACAGAACTTTTTGGGGAACTTCAAAGGTACACTTTAGTAATCAAAGAGAGTTTCCAAGTTTCCCATTAACGTTTTGCCTGTGTGTGGTTTTTGGATTTAAATAAAGAGTCAGAAGAAAGAGACAGGATAAAATATAGGCAGGTCCTCGGCGGAGGCCCAGGGATGGTTCACAGACCCGGGCGGTTCCTGCCTTTGATGTCAGACATTAATTATTAGAAGGTAGTTTTACTGGCGATCAGAACCGGGCGCGGAGAGGCTGGGGCTGCCCGGCGCCCCCTGGCCCTGTCCTTTGAAGTCCCTCCGCCCGCCCAGGGGGCCGCCCTGCAGCTCTGTGCTGGGCCGGGTGCCCCCCCCCACGCCCGCAGCCTCCCCAGCAGCTGGCACGAGGGCCGTCCCTGATCAAAGGCCCCCGTCCGCCTGGGCAGGGCTGGTGGCGGCTGTCCTGCCTGCTCCTCCCCCTTGCGGGGGTGATCTCACTCCCAGAGGTGGGACCCGGGGCTCCCTCAGCACCCCGCGCCTCCACGCTCACGGCAGCCAGGCTTCTGCCCTGTGCTCCTGGGGCTGACAGGCCTGCGTGGTGCGGGTGGGGGGCGGACGCTGCCCGTGACGGCTGCTCCGTGCTGTGGGGTTGAGGTGTATGGCAGGTGGTTGTGCGACGCTTAGCGAGATGTCCCCACCTGGGACCCACGTGCTGGGCAGTGCAGCTGCCTCTGTCCCCAGGCGGCAGGCATCCTTGAGGCACTGGAGGCCGAGCCGTGTGGTTGGGGACCCTTTGGCCCCCTGCCTCTCTCTTCCCAGCCTGGGGGCTCCTGCCCATGCCATCTCCCATATGCCAGCCCAGGCTGTGGCCGGCTAGCCCTGTCCCTGCTGGGCCCAGTGGCTGTTCGTGGACAATCCCTGGACTTTGAGGGCCTGGCCCAGCTGTCCCAAAAGGCGCAGGCTGTGGCCTTAATTAGAATGTCCACTGAGGGTTGCTGGCAGATGGGCCGGCAGCTTTGCAGGTGGCCGGCCGAGTCTCAGCCATGCTTGTTTCTCAGCAAGTGGCGCGGGGCTGGGGGCTGGTGCTCACTGTGGGGGAGAATGGGGCATGCAGGGGCCCTGCACCCCAAGGCGGGAGTCGCCTCCTGCTGAGCGAGCGCCCTGGGCCCCACCTGGCTCGGGCCCCCACCCTGTTTGGGCCTGAGGAGCGCTCTGTGCCACAGTGTTCCAGGGACTTAATCTGGCATGTGTCCCATCCTACCGTGGCTTGCAGACCTGCTGTGTGTCCTTTCCGGGCTCCCCAGGGCAGCTGCTGGCCTCCGCCAGGCCCTGGGGATGAGGAGGCCCCACGGTACAGCCTGCCGTGACCCAGGTCACTACTTCGGGGGGTTCATGTGCCTCGCCCACGACGATGCACGCCTGGCCATGCAGGAAGGCGCTCAGCTCTGGAATGTGCTCCTGTGGCGACTGTGGCCCAGGGCCTGGCAGCCTTGTTCTTAAAAAACTTTCCTCATTTCTTTATGACGTAAGTAATTCATGGTCGTGGTGGAGAAATTGGACAGTTCAGAGAAGCCAAAAGAAAAACAGAAAACCTGTCTCAGCACCCAGACTGGACCGCTGCTGATACCCGTTAACATGAAGCTTCCAGACCTCGTCCCTGGTGTCTCCATGTGCACAGGCTGTGGGGCGTTCGTGTGCTGGGTGGCACCGTCCTGGGTCAGCACATGCATCTGTGGCAATCATTCCTCCCCTGTCAGCGTTGTGTAAATTGTCCCTGCTCACTTGCGGTCCCGCCCTCATCCCGTTAGGCCGAGTTCTCGCGCTTCCTCTTGTAGCTCCGTCAGGTCATCAGCGATCCTGAAGCTGAGCCTCTCCCCCTGCTGCCTCCTGCTTTAAGGCCTAGGGTGGGCCCTGGTTCTTGGGAACATGTGGCTTCAGGAGCTGGGCTGTGTTGAGGTGTCCCCTCGCTACCTGGGGGCCTGTGTCTTGAGGACAGGAAATGTGTGTGGCTGTCAGGTGGAGGCTGTGGGTTGACCACCTCGAGTCCAGCCTCCAGAGGTGCAATGACTACATTGCTGGCCCAGGGTGTCCCCAGCCAGTGCAGCTGAGGGGGACCAGGTGGGGGGGGAGCGTCTCCTTTGGTTGAAGGTGCGGACATGAGGCCTCTTCAGGACAGCATCCCAGCATCAGGCCTGCCTGTTCCAGCCTCCTCCTGGGCCATGTGGCTGCCCACTGGCGGGCAGGCCCAGGATGTCTGTGTCGCTATGCAGACTGCCCAGGCCTGGGTGAGACGCTGCTCCTCTGGGTGGGACTCGAGGCCTGAGCCTCTGCCTGGAGCCGGTGGGAGGGCAGAGGGTCGTGCTGGAGGCCGCCCTGCCCTGTGCTCTGGGGGTGGACTTGGCAGCCTCTTTGGAGACGGCCCCCTGCGGCCTCGCACGGGCTCCTGCTGTGCTGTCTGGGGCCTCTGGTGGTGTCCACATGTTTGGAGGCGGCGAGGCTCTGTGAGGGACCGGGGGGCTTGGCCTCAAGGAGAAACGCTTCCCTTCCCTCCCACCAAAACCATCGGCAGAGGAGGGCCTGGGAGAGGAGGTAGGAGGGAGGAAGCAGACCTCACGGGAAGCTGGGAAAGCTGGGGTCAGGGCACCCCACCTAGGTTTT